TTGGCCTAAAACAGATGCCTAAAGGTATGAAAATGGGTCCACAGAAATTGGCACTTGTTGTCATGGTCCCCCCCCCCCCACCACCACACATGAACCAGTGCATATTTATATACTACAAATTTTAACATAAAGTACTATTAATATTCTTCTTACTTTTTATCACTGAATGTTAATCACTTCAATTCAAATTTTGTACAGTTGTTTGTATTATTTATTTTAGTCCTGGCAAAGTTAATAAAATAAAATAAATGGGTGAAGAAACTCCCATTTCTCTGAAATTGGCTGGCAGGAGAAAATAACATTTTTCTCAACTGCAAAAGAGTCCAAGGTTCTAAGCTGGAAAACTTTACTTCATCTTACAGGCTCAAAACCTTATTTTGAACTGTGCTTAGCTGCATGAAAGGATAAATTTTGAACCAGTAGTGATGCAAGAACAGAATTTGTGGGGTTTGGAGGGGAGTAGACTACGAGCAGTCTCGTTCAAAATATTTCCCCGATTCTGTTGGCTAAAAGAAGATGCATAATTCACCATAACCAGCTACCGATGACCAAATTTGGAAGAACTTTGCGTTAAATGAACCAATGATGTCAAAAGTGCAGCTTTCTTGCAGGTTAATGCACTGTTAACCGAGAAGACCTGGGGACGTGGTTGAGTTGTTTTGTTTGTGAAAACAAAATGGCGGACATTTCACTCATTTCAAGAGTAAGAACTAGGCCAAATAATAGCTAAAAACATGGCAAGAACAGCAAGAAGACAACTCGAAGGGCGATATCTGCTATTTGGAGAAGATTTGAGGAGCTGAACAACTCTAAATGTGCACTATTGAAGATGAACTTAACATAGATGGAGGTAAGCATGTTTTAGCCATGTTTTTAAACTAGGAATTATTTTGAATGAATAATAAAACAATTATTGAATTTGGCTTTCGTATCATATGAAGAATTATGGAGATCTCGCAGGGTGTTGTCCACCTCGGCCGAGTAACACCCTCCTCAATCTCCATAATTCTTCATAAGATACTCAGCCTCATTCATTAATTGTTAAGTCATAGGTAGTGGTAGAGAATCTAAGGTGAAACCCCAAGAGTCCTAGACCACACCTATGATGTGCACACCCATCAGGGATCAGGTTAAAAACAGTTTAATAAGTTGAGAAGCACTAGTCTTACCAGTATTCCAAAGGTGAAAAAACTTGTCAGCCATTCCACCAAGAGGCATGTTTACAACCACAAGGGCCAGTCTTAGTTTTTCATCTGATGAGGTGATAAAAAAGTACACAAAATTCATTGTGAATATTCAGATCTTCATCCTATTAGCTGTTCCTAAGAAGCTTGATTGAACATTCTCTGCATGTCAGCTACAGGGATTTATACAACATGTATTTTACAAGAAAACTATGTTATTGCATATTTGCAAATAAGTTTGTTTCAAATAAAAGTTATATTTTTTCAACTTTAAAATGATTAAGCGAGCCTCTTTTGGGAGGTGCAGAACTAAAAAAAAGTATGCGCTACATTAAAATGGAAGTTCAACTGTGTTGGTACAAAAAGAAAAAGCAAAAATGACTATATAACTCTCAATGTTGTAAGATCCACTGTCATGAAGATAACAAAATCACAACCAAAACATTTGCGGTTTCATGTTGGGATTAAAAGTCTAAGACTTCACATGAAAACATAGGTAGCTAACATTACAATGAAATAAATGTCCACGAAAAGTGATACAATAAATACTAAAGGTACAAAGACGAGTTTTGACTTAATTTTACAGAGGATTGTTATTATGTACTGCTATAAGATTGAAAGAACATCTGTAGTTATTTACAAATATGAAAAAATAAAATCTATTTAATCAATAAACAAATAACAGTTTAGAGAAAGATATAGAAATAGCACATCCACTAAGTGGCTCTTTGTCTTCCCAGATCAAACTGGAACTTTGATATGTTGATACATGTATTTAAGGAGAGGCTTATATAGCATCCGATACTGAAAAATAAATACATTAAACAGGAACACCTGTGGGAATACCTTTATTAGCAGTTTCCTGATTTATCATGTCAGATAAACACTCCAAAGGGGTCCAGTGTTTGGCCATGATCTGGAAATGAAGACTTATAATCAGTCAAGCAAGTGATGAGACTCATCCTCCGAGACAAAGGGGCAGTCAGTCGGTTGCATGCACAACCTTGGTGAGCAAACCGGACAAGTATGGTGAGACAATAGCCATCGTGTATGAACTCAAGGAAAAAACTCAGGAGATGCTGTTCGCCACAATAATATAAAGCGCAAAAGTGGGCACAATAATACAAAGCATTTTGGGGACCTAACCAGGAGCCAGCATTCGCTTGACTGTTTGGAAATGTTCCGGTGAGAATCGGTACCCTGAGGGGCTCTTCCGCCTGTGCTTGAAAACTTTCGTCGCACCTCCCAGCCCGACTGACTGCCCCTGGGTTTCAGAGGATGGATGAGACCCTGTTAGGTTAAAATTTTGACAAGCAACATAGCCTTGAAACAGCAACACAAGACAGCTGAAGTGGTGACAAAAGACACAAAGATGGGATGAACCTGTAATAGTAATGGCAGGGACATTATTAGCCTCCACCGTAATACACCAAATGACAGTTTTTGCAATTTAGGCTAGGGACATATGTACCCCACCTCTCCCCCACACGGTTGATCACAGGAGGCGGGGGGGGGGGTTGGTTACTGCCATTAATTAACTATATAGGTTGATGTGCTGCTGTGAAGGGTATGATTTTCGAGCAGTTTAGTCTGGGGAAGGATACAGAAAACAGATACTTTTGGTCCAGAATAGGGTATCATTTTCCAGGAAACTGATCAACTGGTTGAAAGTTTTTATCTAGGGAAACCAGGAATTGACACTAAAAAGAAACAATGCAATGGCAAATTTAATTTACCTGCGCTTCAGATTAATAGCAAAGAAAGTGTTGACCTCAGTAGTTTCTGGAAAATTATAACGACTCTCGCAAAGGAAACGGTTTTGGGAGTTAAGTTTAGTGTCTAGTATAGGAGAGCCAAATTCAGCTGGGCTGGGTCTGGTATAGACTAAGGGTTCTGGGGTCCCAGTGCACATCCCCAACCAAAAATTCCTTACATACCCCCTACCCCCCTCCCCCCCCCCC